AATCCTTTTGTAATATCATCATTACATGGGTTAAAAATATTATTGTATCATTTGATGTAATCATTCTTACTTTTTAGAAGGTTTTGAATCAATTCTATCACTTCAAATTTAAAAAAAACGCATATTTTGTTTTTAAATCAATAATTTAAAAGCAAAACGGAAACATGCCCAATTCATGCTAGAAATTTGTTTTCTTATTAAATTAATTCTTTTATTTTGATTCCGGCTTATTAAATTTGAATGTAAGATGAATAATAGCAGCAATGATATTATCATTATTAACAGTTAAAAATCTGCAATAAAGTTATTAAAAATGTATAATTATTTTTATAAATTATAAACCTTTTATCATTGCCGTGTACAGACTGCAAGATTGGCAAACCTCTAAGTCTGCAAAATTATTTTATTTAAGCGAGTCATTAGAGCTCTACTGCTATAAAGTGTCGGATCAGCGCAGATATTAAACTTATCGAAAAAATATCGGATTGGCAGATGTTTTTAAAAATTAAACATGACTTCCATAAAAAGTGTCTTATAAAATGTAAATGTTTTTAATAGAAGTAAAATATATTAATAAACTAATATAAAAGAAAATTACCAAAAAAATTTGTATTTTTATTTGCCTATTTTATTTCTTTGTTTTTATTAAGAAAGAACTTGTGTAAATAAAATCGTATGAATTTACATTTGATTAATTAGTAAAGATATCAATATTTTAAAGGTTTTCAGCTTTGGCAAACCTTGGACATAAGGTATAACCTGCAACAAGTGTTTCATCAGTCATCAGCATATCTGGTGATATCAAGATTGCCAAGCTTATCATTACATAAACTTGAGGCTCTTATCTTTATAAAGAAAAATATCCAATATATAAATTTAGTTATTGTATATTTCACTATTATATTAATTGATATTTAATTTGTTTTACTGAAAATTTAAAAATATATAGTGTGCTAGCATATAAATTTATACTTATTTGTATTTAGGCCAAAATAGATAAATAAAAGTTCTGATCATCATTAAAAAATATGAATGGAACTATAAGTATATTTATTCTCTAAAGCAGGGATGCGAACCCGACAAAATTTTAGACCGGGTTCGGTTCGGGTTCGGTTCGGGGTATAAAAAAAAAGTTGGGTTCGGTTCGGGTTCGGTTCAGGGAAATATTTTTGAACCCGGGTTTGGTTCGGGTTCGGTTCGGGTTCAAAAATTTTTGAGTTGATAAAAAAAATTCTATATTTAAATCATAATAAAAAACTAGACATAAATTTGATATAAAAAATAAATTTTTTATTTTATTTATAGGCAAATATAGTTAAAAATACAAAGCATATAGTCATGTATCAATTTTAAAAATTTTATATAGACGTATTAGTATAATATCTTCCAAGAGTTGTTCACTCATCCTCGATCTATGTGGTGAAAGAATGAATTTCAGTGAAAAAGATCTTTCAACGCTAACTTATGTTAAATGTATTTATATGTGAAAATATGAAAAATTAACTTGGGTTGCAGGAACAGCAAATAAGATTTTAGATAAAATATATAATACAGGGTGTTCCAGCTTAGCAGACTCCCAAAAATGCAAAATATTTTCCTTCTTATCTAATCTTATATAATCGCTAAATCCAGTAATTATTGTTCCAATACTTTTCTCAGCAATCGTTGGCCCTCTTTTAAGTATTTTCTCCTGCCTTTCTTTAAGTTGTATCAATTTCTCTAAATCATCTTCTTGTTCAATAACTTCATCGGAACTAATATCATCAGATAAAATTGGCGTTGTTAAGCTTTTAATTCGTCTCCAAAAATTGACAAGATGTTTTTTCGCACAAATCTTATCATCATCACTAAGTAATACCTGTAATATTTAAGGATTTATATTGTTTATATTTAAATATTTCATAAAATAACAATTTTAATATAAATCTAAAATAATTAATTTACTAAGCTTTTAATTAACCTTGTATCTTGGGCCCAGGTATATGGCAGCTAAGAGAATTTCGTTCTTTATAAACCTTTCTTCTCTGTTCTTAAGACAAGAATATAGTAATTGAGCAAAATGGTTTGGATTTTTTTCCAGTTCGATGCAGCATCTTAACCATGCTGCATAAAAATCTGTCAGTGTTAACTGTTCAGATTGGAATTGTTTGGTTGCGATTTTTAGCGGTTTTAAAATTTCAACAATCGTTATTATCTCTTTCCAATCTTCAGTCAATAAATAATCAGATTGCTCTGTAAAAAAATCTTCGATATTGGGTTTTAGTAAAATCAGCCTTTCTAACATATCATGGGTTGAATGCCATCTGTGGCAATCTAACACAGGCTTAGGGAGTTTCATATTTTTTAATAACTTTTGGTAAGTGGGATGTCTTAATTTTAAATTTAGGCTCCTAGCTTTTGCAATGGTTTCCACAATAGGTGATAATTTTATAGCATCTTGAAGTGCCAGCTGAAGTGTGTGCACACTGTACACTATAAATCGGATAGGATATAATAGTTGATAAAAAAGTATTTTGTATATCATCAATATCATATTTATATACATTTACATCCATATTTTCCTCATCTGCTGATTCACTCCTTATATCATAATCAGTTTCAGGTTGCAGGAGCTTTATAGCTCTTAAAAAATTACAACCATTATCAGAAGTAATTGTGTATATTTGTTGAATATTAATTTTATATTTTAGTAAAGTTTTTAATATATTCTCTTTTATATATTCTCCTGTACATCTCTCTTTCAGCTCTACAATTCCAAGAGTCCTCAAATTTATAATGGACTTTGATATAAATTGAATATTTACACCAAGAATTGACCTATCTAGTCGTTGAACTGCATCAACTTTTAAACTTATTAATTTTCCTTCTACCTCTCTCGATATTTTGTCTCTAATTGATTGGGCTGTTTTATTAATAGTTCTGGATAAATTTTCTTTGTTTATAACTAAATTGCGCCCAGATAGGAGTGGATTTATAATTCTTTGAAATCCCGAATCTTCAATAATTGATAAAGGCCGGCCATTTACAGTAACAAGTTCTAGTATAGAACTCATCAAATCATTAGATGATATATTTATACTTATATGCTTTTTTGGGAAAAAGGTTTCTATATTAATTTTAGGTTTTTTTGCCAATAACATTTCCTGATGTTTGGTTTTTTCATTTAAATAATTTAAATATTCATTGTTGTGATTTCTTTCCAGGTGTCTTTCTAAATTTGACAAGTGATTACCAGACATTTTTACTTTGCAATATGAACATATTGATTTTTTTTTCTATTTTATTAAGGGTAAAATGCTTATCAAATATGACTTTATCTTTAATCTTAAATCTATAAAAAGAGAACAATTTTTTTAAATAGCAATGATTTCAGAATTAAAAAAGAGATATTTATAAATTTAATTTCATTTATAATATGCACTTCATTAATATCTTGTAAAAATTAAACTGAACCAAAAATAAATGATTAGCATATATAAATTTTAAAATCATTTTAATAAGTTCACAAAAACTGCCCTACATTTAACAATTTTTAAGTTAGATGTTTAGAATTTTTTAAATTAACAATATAATAATTTTTACTTTGATTTGTTAACCATTTTCTTCTAATTAATAATCTTTAAGAATAATAAGATAAAAATTTAAAAATAAATGGCGTAAATTAATTCAATTGTTTAATATTTTTTAACACTCCAATAGGAATCGAGAATAAATTTAAAAATGGCATAAATGAATTAAATTGTTTAAAATTTATTAAGACTTCATTTAATTGGAAATTTGAAAATATAATATTTGTATTTACATATATTAGTATATGATTTTAAATAATACACTGAACCCGATTGAACCCGGGTTCAAATAAAATTCTTGGGTTCGGTTCGGGGTTTTGGAAATTTTATAAATGGGGTTCAGGTTCGGTTCGGGTTCAGAGTTTTTTTCTAAAAACCCGGGTTCACTTCTCCGGGTTCGGGTTCGGTTCGAATCCCTGCTCTAAAGGCTCTAATTTAATAAATAAGATATTATTTACTAATAACTTATACATAAAAACCTCTACAAATTTAAAGATAAGCCATATTTTTAGAATTTTGAAGACTTTTTTTTTAGTTTGGAAAAGTGAATATTCTGATTAAAAGGCTTTAAAAAAATTTATACACCGATTTTTATTATATAAAATATTGGGAAAAAAAAGTAAATATCGATATCGGATTGGTAAAAAAATTGTGGATCGATGCAGCCCTACTAGAAATAGTTGAAGTTAAAAACCCCATATTCATTAGGTTCATTTTCAAAAATGGTTTTTTCAAATCTCCAAACCTGAAATTTATTCATTTCTTGAAAATAGCGAATTATATTAATATTACCTGACTGTATTTTTTAATAAATATGTTTTCTAGTTAAAAAGTACAAGTCTTATGTTATCACATAAATTATCAAGATATTGAAGTGTTTTGCTTAATAAATTGGCTTTGGGATATAATTTTAAATCTTATATTTTCTAAAGCTTTTTATCAACTATGAATTGATTCTGTTACTGTCATAGTGTTAATTGCGGTAGAAAATCATATTCTGCAGTTAATCAGGCTCAGGAGATCTATATCCACACTTTAAAAATCATCAACTATTTCAGATGCTAGCGTGTGTTTTTTATAGCAATACAACGGAAATGTATTCTATCATGTCTGGAATACCTATCCTTTAAATTTTAAATTATATTGCCATGAACATATAAACTTAATATAAACGGTAAAATTGTCTATAATTCACAAGATAGGTATTCCAAATATGTTGGAATACATTTCCGGCAAAATCAGATTTTTAAATTAAAATAAAGCGTTCAAAAAATGATTAAAGTTGAAAAAATAATGCCTTGCTGCGACCTTGCGCACTATTTTGTTGCACAAAAAAATATTGTGTCAAATTATATAGTGGTATGATGGCACTATAAAAGTTCGTGGTTTATTATAAGCAAAAAATATTTAATATTCTATTTTTAATAATAGAACTTGTAGAGGTCACCGCTCAGTAAAAAAATATTTTCAAGCTCGCCTCTAATTTTGGATGGTCTGGCTATTTTAGTTGAAATTGTAAATTGCTTCAAAGTTTAAAAATATGTAAATGAATAATTGATATAATAAATTTATTTTTTAAAAATCGGCTGTTCCCATTTGTAAAAAGCGAGGTTAAATTTTTTTTTAGGTCAGTTCATATGAAGGCTTGCAATCTTTAATTTTTTCGGGAAAAAATGTTGAGCCATAATTCTTATATCTTGTATTATTTGATGAGGAGAAAAAGGATCTGTAATTTTCAAATAGGAACAATATGCCATAATATATTAACAATTATAGAATAAAATAATTAAATTTATATTTTTGGTTAGATAATGGAGAATAGACAAAAGGAGGAATTACGAAAACTAGATATGAGAATAATAATGGAATTAGATCAAAAAGTCATGGATCAGCAAGTGACATTAGAAAAAGCTGGAGTCCCTACCTTTCATGTCACAAATAATCCTAATGAAATTCAGATGCAAATTTACATATTAGGATTTATAAAAAAGATCGGATCTATAGTATTTCATCAGTATTAACAGACTGACTCTTCACACATATTTAACTTTATTATACATTTTTTAAAGCCTATACAAGAATAAATTTATTTCATATATATAAGTTTACAGTAATAAAATATATAAATTTAAAAAATATATGTTCATCTAAATATATCTGCCCCTTCCCTTTGGGGATTTTGAGATGGATAATGAATGTTAGATATTTTGTGATCCAAAAATACTGGAGGAGCGATAAAATTAATTTTAGTATCTTTAGTCATCAGAGCTTTAAATTAATTTAAAATAATAATATAACTTATATTTAATTATAAATTGTTTCATAAATAAAAAGCATTTAGATATGTCTCATTCCAAAAAATATCATTCAAATGATATTTCTGATAAGATCAAATATATCATAACAAGCATAGGGCTCGGAAACCAAAAAAATTAACACTTTTATCAAATAAATAACTAAGATCTAGCGTTTTTTGTATTTAATTAACCAAAATATTTATTCATTATGTCAAAACCCTATCCCCATAGGCGCAACTAGATATTCAATAGGGAACATTGGTAGGTATTTTTTCCCCATAAATTTTATTAAAGGTCGTTAGATCCACTTATCGCAGGCCTTTGGCGATGTAATATTTTTTTTTTAATTAATTTTGCTTTTTATAAAAAATGATTCTTTCTAAAAATTTAACTATTACTTATTTTCTTCAATAGTGATATATTTTATACTATTTTGAGGGTGGGGAAAAAATTAATTCGCTTAAAATAATATTTAAAGAAATAGACAAATTCCCGGGAGGGGGCATATGCCCGCTACACCTATAACCATATCTATCTAAACATTTTTCAGACAACTAAATTTCATTTTAAAAAAATCGTAATGACATACGTGGAGGTAATCCGGGTACAGGAGGCAATAAATTCGGTATGTCTGTTAAATTTAGGTCACCCTTTTTGGTAATTTGACTGTGGGATTTTCCCCATCTCAATACCAACCTATATAAAATTTTATAATTAAAAATTATGTAACTAAACCTTCTTCCACAAAGAATTAATTTGTTGTAACTATGCAAAGCTGCATTTTCGGCAGCTTGTCTGGTGGTGTATTGGATAAAAGCACATTGTTGTTTTGATACTATAGACACTGATCTAATTTCCCCAAATTGATAGAAATAGTTCCTATATTTGTTTGATTGGCATAATTAATTGTAAAAATTTTAAAAAATATATTTTGGTGAAAGTTCACTAGTTTGTATTTTATTTTAAATGTCAACCCTAGCTAGACTAAAATGTATTTGTATCTATGACTAATACTGATATAGAGGAAATTAGAGATCCAAACCAGCCTGGTATTTACGTTATTATAAAAAAATAATCATCTGAACCGAACCTCTATAAACTTCATATGCTTGATTCGAATCGTTTAATATCCTAATTCTTTTAAAGATTATTAATAATAAATCTTGATTGATAAGTATAAGTAAGCATTTTTATTTTTTAGATATTTTTCTATATTGCTATTTGACGGTGCCAGCCACCCAAGTTAACAAGTGTTCTTAACCATAGAATTTATTCTTTAAAGTAACTTACAAAAGAGAATCTAAAATAAATTGCATATGGTACAATTTTATTTTTTAGGGAATAAAAATTTGAAAAGTGCTTCTCCGTACACAATTAAAAATGTGTAAATTCCAACATATATAAAACAATTTTAATCATTTTTTATTAAGATATATCTTATCTTCATCTTAGATATCAGAAATAAAAATTTAAATTAGATAGATAATATCAAAATTTTTGATATGAAAATATTTAAAAAAATAAAATAAACCTTAAATCTTTCTCCGTGATTTTGTCTTCTCCCAAATTGCTGACATATAATGTGGTAATAGTTTTATCATCTGGAGGTTCAAGCCTGGGAAGGTCTGAAGCTCTTCTAAGTAATTTTTCTGCAACAGGATCATTTACTCCGTAATACCTATCCTTTATATTTTGATCCGATAAAGGATCATCTGGATCACTTGGTTTCTCGTGTCTAAAGTTTAATAAAAAAAAATATACACATTTACTAGAGCCCTGCAAGGACAGATCGGTGTCGATCAAACTCGTATCTGTCATACTCGGTCGGATTCAAATCTTGATAAAATTAATTCTGGATCGGACTTGGAACAATATACTAAATTCTGTCTGAACAAATTTGGTTATTAACAAATGGAATGACAATAAAGAACAATTTTTTCCTTATGATCCATTCAAGCTAAGCTGTTACATTTAGAGGAATTAAAATATAAAATTACATAGTCCTTATAGGTTTTAAAGGTATTTTAAATTCAAAAAAATTAGTCCATTTTTTGATGAGTTATAGTAGTTATTTTTGACCTATACTGTAAGTAACATTATTATGTTAACAACTATCATTTTTAAAGTTTATTCAATTTTATGGTAATAGGATAACTTTGTTAAAATAAAATAAAAATCTGATTTTTTATCATAAAATTAGAAACTAACAGAAATTTAATAAAATATAAATAACACTAATATTTTATAATATAAAAAAATAGATTGTTTAAGTTTCATGAAATTTTTGACATTCCTGACTTTTAACCATTTTGGGGGATATTTAACGTTTTTTTCTGCAGAATAGAATCATATTTAAGGGGTCCACCTAATATAATCAAGGGGAAACCTGGGAATAAGATTGGTATTTTTACCATAAAATTTTGAAATATAAACAAGAAACAGAGCAATAGATTTATATATAGTCAATTCCCTCATCTACAAAATATAAAAAGTGCAGCTCCCTATTATGTGAAGTGTGCCATTTTTGCCATCTTACCCCATACCCATGTTAAGTAGCTAAGTATCAGGGTAAAGCGGTTAAAATAAAATTGCACATAAATATATTGTTTAGTTGAAAAAATATTGCAATTTTGACATTTATCCATTATTTTTAGTAACCTAATCAATACAATACCGGAATATAAAAAAAATTATCAAAAATAGCACATTTTGAGTGGCAATTTAGTCTTATGCGATGATTTTTAAATTTTATTCCAAATAATAACAACTAATGTTCCTTTTTACACAAATGTATCTATATAAGGTGTAGGCTATTTAAAAATTATCTTTTTACAGCTTAAATCAGATGGAACAGTTTAGCCGTTCTACCCATAACAACTTTACCACAAAGTGATATATTTTGTACTGTGTGACTTTTAGTAAAGCTTTAATCTTCTATAAATGTGGAACATGTATATGATAAATTCCATGACAGATCAACAAAAAAAACACGATTTTCAACCGATCTCCTCAGTTTTAAAATTTTTACAAGATGAAAAATATATTATAACTAAGAAAAAAAATTTAAATTTAGCCTCCAACTTCAAACATCGGTTGAGATACGGGTCTCTAAATAAACAATGGAGAATTTTGGACAAAATGCGTTCCCTTTAATTATAAATATCTTTAGATTCAATTAAGCTAGAAGCTTCATTTAAATTTCTTAATAAAGCTTAATAATAGGCCTTTACATTGACGTAATGTTAAATATTGTTAAAAAATTGAATGTCAGGAAATGATCATAAAATCAAATCCTAATTTTTTTAGCTATAGGATTAATTAATAAATATGCAAAATTTCAAGTTGGGTCGAGCATATGTTTAGGAAATATGGTAGTTTATTCATAAATAAATTGAAATTATTTAATATCTGGTTCTTATAAGGACGCTGAAGGCTAGCTCTTGATACTAATTTTTTGGTAATTCGTCCCAAACGATCGCAAGCACTTTTGCCATGGGCTGTTGCGAAAAAGTACCATTCTGTTTTGATTCCGAAATCGATGATAGCAAATATAATGAATTTTTTATTGTTTTTATATTGTGTCATAAGAATAATAAAATATTTTTGATATATTTGGATTTAAGAAAATATATCATTTTAGTTTGAAAGAAATAAACGGCACGTGTTTTAGAAATGATGACAGCATCACATAATAAGTGTTTTCATATTATTTTCACAATATACCATAAAGGGATATAGAGTAGACTGGTTATTATTCCAGTGAAATTCTTGAACATGGTCCTGCGCTACAAAAGCATAATATTCCGAAAAATTCATTAATATAATGTGGGATTAACGTATTTAATTTTTATAAAAGAATATCTATAAAATCGAATGTCGACTTGCAAAATGTTTCAAGAGTCGTTCGATCAACAGATAACCATTGTTTGAAAGCCATATAATCAATTAAACTATTGTCTAATGATATCTCAAACTTTTCTCTTAGATTGAGGAAACCCTGGCAAAATTAACATTTTCTAAGTTAACAATCAGGAATTGCATGATTACAGAGATTGTGCAGCACAATCTTGATAACTCGAATGGAGAATATATCATTAGAAGTTAATTGGGAATCTTCCATCATTCAACATCAATTTAAAATATTGATGAATAGTGCATATGCACATGACATGGGTTCCTCGAAGACATAATATTTTGGTCTTAAATAAACAAATTTACTAGAACCCACTTTTATATTACAACGAGTTTCTTTAAGATTGCATAAAATTAGTATTTTCTGCAATTTACACTACTCTCCTTTAATCTTTGTCAAAGTTTGTAAAATTTAGGATTGGGAGATTAGAACCGTTGTCAAATAAAGAAAAGTTAGAATTATTAAATACTTAAACATAAAGTAATCAAAATAAATTAATATTAAAAATTAAGTTCGCACCATAATAATTTTTCAAGTAAAATATTCCCGATTATATAACTTTTCTATACTGTTCATTTATATCGTGTTTAAACAACAAGCTTAAAAAATCTTGAACTTTATTTAATCTGAAATTCATTTTTCTTATTTGAATATTACAACACACTTCCACTTAGATTACCCACATTCTGCGAAATACCAATATTCGTGCATGTATCCAATTACTGTTTTATTTCCTTTGCTCACTTACATCATCGATAGATTCTGTTTCTTGTCTTAGTCTGTTATTGATGAGTCTTAGCACTAACAACTTGATTAACGCATGCCTTTAAACGATACACGATTGCTAGTCAACGATTATCGATACTACGTCGTAAATTCTCCTGATAAATTAATTTGGTCTTTTGCTTGCTTCTAACGTTCTCTTGTAACTAATGATCATTGCTTTATCTCGATCAACGATGTGCGATGCTTGATCTGCAATTTTTCACTTATATTGTTTCTTAGATCATCGATTTTGTATCTTTTACTAAAGTTTTGATAAGCAATTGGCGATAATTTGTCAACGATTAAAGATTGCATCCTGGTATTGACCACTTGTTCTACCTAGTCGCTTGTCAATATATCACTTCGTCTTAAAATCTTTTGTACGATAAAGATTTCTTTTATCTTTTGATCTCAAATAAAAATTCGATCTCTACATGAGCTCGATTGCGGAATAAAATTTCTAATGACGAAAAGCCGTTTCTCTTTATGAAGATTTTTGGTTAATCCACAACCTAATATTATATAAAACGATCACTTGTACCTATAACGATCTCTTGTGACGAATTCTTTTTAGCTAAACGACTAATTATATTCTTTTCCGAATTACGACCATTAATATTGATACCATTGTTTTATTGCTCTCATTCTTTGTCTTAGTCGATAGTCATTTCATACATCCCCTTCCCCCTTTATTTAGAATTTCTTTTCAGAGTTAATTAGACTGAATTGTTGTAATTGCCCTGGCACCTCCACTCTCCAACATCATTGTCAAAGTTTGTAAAATTTAGGATTGGGAGATTAGAACCGATGCCAAATAAAGAAAAGTTAAGAAATAAAATATGATACTAAATCTTCATTAAATACTTAAATATAAAGTGAAAACATAATCAAAATAAAAGAAAAATAAAATTAATATAAATTAAAAGTTTAAAAGATTAAAAATTAAGTTCGCAACATAATAATAATTTTTCAAGTAAAATATTCCCGATTATATCTACTTTTCTATACTATTCATTTACATAGTGTTTAAACAACAAACTTAAAAAATCTTGAACTTTATTTAATCTGAATAATAAATCTTTTTTATTCATTTTTCTTATTTGAATATTACAACAGTCTTTATTGATATAAAATGGTTACCAAGATTTTATTACTGTTATCATCGGAATTATAAAATTTTTGAATAATATCTGAAAAAAACTAGTAGAAAATCTACATTTCTTAGACCTCCACAACTTATATGTTTATCTAAATTGTGCGAATTTTAGGAATGAAGTAAATATATTACATAAATTAAGAATGCCCCCCCCCCACCTTAAATAAAATATTTAAAGATTTTAGCATATATATATTACAAATGATTTATCAAATATTTATTATGAATTTTTACAATTTATTAATGATTTAAATGCCATATCTCCTAAACCTGGGCTCGACTCAATTTGAAATTTTGAATATTTATTAATTAGTCCAATATCTATATATAAAAAAAATTGAAAGAAAAAAATGCCGATAAGATTTTATGATCATTTACGGTTATTGACATTTAGGATGTTTTAAGCAATCTTTAACATTATATAACTTTAATCATTAAGCTCTATAAATAAATTTAAATGACGCCTCAATTATATCCAAAATTAAAGGGAGAGCCAGGGATGCGAACTCGGCGAAATTTTTGTCCGGGTTCGGTTTAAGGTTAAAAAATAGGTGGGTTCGGTTCAGGGAAATATTTTTGAATTGATAAAAAAAAATACTCTATATTTAAATCATAATTAAAAAACTAGACATAAATTTGGTTTAAAAAAAATATCATTTTATTTATAGGCAAAATATAGTTAAAAATACAAAGCATAGTCATGTATAGATTTAAATTTTTTTATTTAGACGTATTTCTTTAAATTAACAATATCCAATATAATATTTTTACTTTGACTTGTTCACTTTCATTTTCCATTAATTAATATGAGAATAAGTTAAAAATTAAAAATAAATGGCGTAAATGAATTTAATTGTTTAAAATTTATTAACAATCCAATAGGAATCTTTGAGAATAAATTTAAAAATGGAATAAATGAATTAAGTTGTTTAAAAACTTCAATTGGAAATTTGAAAATATTATAAAATGTCAAGTAAATTATTAATATTTGTATTTACAATTATACAAATATCTTATATTAATTTAAACAATACACTGAACCTGGTTGAACCCGGGTACAAATAAAATTCACAGGTTGGGTTCAGGGTTTTGAAAATTTTATAAACGGGGTTCAGGATTGATTCAGGTTTTATTTCCAAAAACCCGGGTTTTCTTCTCCAGGTTCGAACCCCTGGAAAGAGCATTTTATGCAAAATGCCCATTTTTAGATCTTTAGAGGCTCGTGTCTTAGCCATTGTTTGGATTTTGAGGTTAAAATTACTTTTATCTTAGTTTGAATTTTTATAAAAATCTGAGGGGGCCCGTTTAAAACTCATGTTAATTTGTCATGGAATTCACCATATAAATTTTTAAATTCAAAGCCTTAATATATTTTGTTAATTTGAGTAAAAAACGTTTTTTTTGGCAAAATGAGTTTTTCAAAAGATGAACATAGGTAAGAAATTAGATATAAAATACATCTTCACACCAGATTTAAGAGCTTTATACTCAAATTTAAATTTTCTTACATTAGCATTGATATATTGTCAATTGCTTTACCCTAATCTCCTCTACTGTTTAATTGTCTTAATTGAGAGTTAGTTTTTTTCCCAGATTATTGTTTTTGCTTGCTAAATTTTGTATTCTTAGGATCTTCAATCAATTTGTATTTTTCATAATATTATGTGAAGAGCCCAAATTTATTTCTGAAAATATATTAGGGAGGTTAGTAAAATATTGGAAACTCTGTCCAAAATATTTTGATTATTGAGTCTTAAAAAATTTTGCAAATAGAAGAAAAAATAGTTAATTGATCTAAATTTTAATTCTATATTATAACAAAAGTTTATTTGTAAGCTATCCACTTTTATATTGGAAGATTAAAAATAAGCAGCATTCTATCACATTTTTAAAGTTATTTGTTCATAATGAGATTATAAATTTTAGAAAAATTATTGGGACAAGGAGCACCACCTTAAGCTGTATACATCCTATTTTATGTAGCGGAATCCCACTTAAAGAATTCTGTCTTGCGAAAAATAATGTAACCAGATTTCCCTTTAAAATTAAAAAATCCTGAGTAAATAATAAATCTTAAAATTTCATAAAATCTCTAGTTTATTTATAAAAAAACTTAATATAAATACAGCTGTAATTTATTCATGTTTTATAAAATATCTGTTATTTTTCAGTAGGGATGTACCAATATTTTTGACTGGATCAGGTATTCATCTTATTTTAAAATATCGGCTAAGCATCTAATTTTGAAAAAATCTAGCTAGCTTTATTATAAATTCAGGATTTGCAAATGAAATTAGTGGAGAAAATGCATCAATTTATATATTATTCCTGTAGAATTTAATCAACATTTACAACATAAATAACTAACAAGCCAAGTTTCAAAAATCATTATTGATTATTTATTTTACAATTCTTATGAAAATTTTATATACATAAAGATTGGATTAGTTATTTATTCACAGATAGTGGAGAAAATGCATCAATTTATATATTATTCCTGTAGAATTTAATTAACATTTACAACATAAATAACTAACAAGCCAAGTTTCAAAAATCATTATTGATTATTTATTTTACAATTCTTATGAAAATTTTATATACATAAAGATTGGATTAGTTATTTATTCACAGATAGTGGCATAGGCATGAGGGGTTTTAGAAGTTGACACCACCCCCTTGTCATTGAATTACCTCTATGCTAAGCATTTTAAAATACTCAGCTTATTATCTTAAAAAAACCAATTCAATCATATTGTCAATGTTGTCAGTTATTTTATGAATGAATATAAAATTTAATTAGATAATTTTTTATTAATGATAAATGAATAAAAGGAACCAAAATTTAATTTATTTGTAATGTTTAAATAATAAAATTATATTAAGAGTTGCTGCATCAATAAAATGATTTTAAAATTTGTAAGTCATATTCAGTGATTAAACATTGCCTATATTTTAAATGAGATGATTATATTTTGATTAAATATCATATTGGCCATGAAAACAAAAAAAAGGAAGTTATTTATTGCATAAAATTAGATTTTTGGTTATGTTAGTTCAAATCAATGAAAGTTGATAAATAAATATTAATCTAAATATTGGAGTATTTTTATATGAATATTGGAAAACATCTGATTAGTAAAAAAATTTGTGAATCAACTCAACACTGAAATTCTACTTTAGTGCTGTGTTGATTCACAAATTTTTTTATAAGACATATTTTTTAAATATAATAACCTATAAGGGCATTCTTCTCCTCTTTTACATTCCCCTTTTACCCAAAAGGAGCATATATGAGGTCTATTTCTTTTATAATAGGGTGCTGTTCTGGCCAACTTCATTAAAGTATCACTTGGGCTTTGCATTTTTCCAAGTGGATTACTGGTTTCAGCTAACTAAAATAAATTTAATGATTTTATTAAAACAATAATGTTACTTCTTTTTCAATATTTTGAATAAAATATTCTTTATTAACCGTTGATCTAGGCAAATCATCTTTAATTTTTAGAGCTTCATCTCTAACTTGAGTGGGTAAGCCTAATGAAAATATATTATATATTAAATATAAATTTAATCTTACCATATTCTAAGTCTAATAAACATGTTTGACATATATTTTTTAATTTGGAACATGTTTGACATATTTCAGTTTTCTTAAATCTCATATGTGCTCCTGGACACCATCGAAATATGGTAAAAGGCCTTTCACATATTTTACATTCCTGACCCCATTTTTCTCTAGTCTATTATTTCAATTTTTAATAAATAAATCTATAATTTTTAATATTTACCATTCGTATATATGGATTATCTCCTAAACATGTTTGGCACAAAATGGGAAATTCCTTAGAATATTAAAATATAGAATTTATATAAGGTAATATACAGAATCTTCCCAATTCAATCTATTGTAGGTGCTGGTGCCTTTAGATAACGCCATTATTTAAGAAAATACTCTAATATAAAATAGTTGAATGACAGGGTTAGCGCCACATTGGCATCATGCTAAATGAGTTAAATTCTAGAGAAAGGAATATTCTCGATTTATATAATATTTATGTAGAAATATTCACTAAATCTAACACCCACTAAAACTTTCTCTCGGTGATCGAAATAGTAAAAAACATATTAATGGGTCTGTTAAGGTTGGCAGAGAGAAGAACAAAATTAAGAAAGTATTTTAAAATTTTATTTATTTAAAAAATTATTTAACTAAAAATGCAATATATTTTTATGCTTATATAGCTTGTAAAAATCAATTTATATAAATGAAAAATCTATTTAATAATTTATATAAACGAAAAATCAATTTAATAATTTATATAAACGAAAAATTAATTTAAATCAAACGATTGAGTTAATATATATATATATATATAAATTAATCAGGTCATCTCAACATTCCAACAGCTGTTTTCTTCTAAATCTAATAAGTAATTAAGCTTTAATATATCTTAATCAATTAAAACGACAATAACATCATGAATTTTTCAATATAAAAACATGCAATAAAAATAATGATATAGAAATCATTTTGAATACTGTCTATGGTTTATTATCATGTCAACCTCTTGAAAGAACCTGTAAACGAATGTAATTGTTATATTATAGGAATTAATAAATTAAAATATTATATATTTTGGTTATTGAATAGTAATATGTTTTAATTTATGTAACGCACATTAATTTAATTCTGCTTATTCAAATCGCGCATTCATTTAATTCTGTTAATCAAATTATATTTTCATTTTAGTTTTACCTTTTATTTTTATATGTTAACCTTTTTAATATTATTTTCTAATTTTAGTTTGTAAAAAATATATAAATAGTTGATAGAAAAAGAGAAATAAAAAAGGAGATAAAATAATTTTTTTATTTTTTCTCCAAGGACGTCCTTCTTTCTTCTTGGTGCCCCGGCTCTGGGTGGTGGACTTGAATAAGATGACTACCTAATCTATTGAGATGACCAATGCCTAATTAATTGAGATGACCAATGCCTAATCTATTAAGATGACCCATGCCTAATCTATTGAGATGACCAATGCCTAATCTATTGAGATGACCGATGCCTATTCTATTGAGATAACCAAGAATCAAACCCTAGCACGTTCTTTCACGCCAAAAGCTTCTTTCTTCATGGTGTCCTGGCTCTGGGTGGCGGACTGCAATATGATGACCAACACCTAATCTAATGTGACAACCTAGAAAGAACCAATATGGAAGTTGGACATTAGGTTATGAATTCTATATAGTGAAACCATTGATGATTTAAATTCTAAATCCACGTAAGAAGAAAAGTTATTATAAATTAAAATTCTATGTCTATAAATTAACTTAATAAAATAATTTAAATGTAAATCAATCTAAAAAATTATTTGCTTAATGAATTTCTTAGTGAAATGCCTATTGATATTTTTGATTTCTTGAATTATGACCAATTGTGTAAATTAATCGAATTACCTAAAGGTAATAAAAAGCATTAAAAAATTATTTACTTAATGAATTTCTATAACTCTTATAAGTAATACTTAATGTGATAAAAAGTTTTTGAAATTTAAAGCCTTGAAAGACAAATAAAAGAAGTTATGTAAAAACTGAACATCATCATTTTAGAAAAATATTTAAATGATGTGATGAGGAGATCATTTTCTAAAAATTATCTTATGAAGAATTATTTAAAAAAAACACTTATTGAATTAAAACTAGGGTGTGAAATTTAAATTTTTTTTTAAAGAGAGGGAAATGTGAATAATATTTTATTTGCATATTTTAACCTCAGGATTGAAAATATTAATATATATAAATATAAATAAATTAAATACTAAAACGCAAAAAAATTATTTAAACACTAAAACGCGAAAAAATAAATTGGACACTAAAACGCTAAAAATTAAAACGCTAAAAATATTATAACAATCTTATTGATTTATCATTCTTCACTTATTTTTATATCCAACTTGATGAATTATTATTTCTCATTATTCGCAACTTACTGATAATAACAATTTTGAAAAATGATAATAATAACAACTGAGTACTACCAAGCAAGCTATATGACAAAATCATGATTTATGGAGACAACTTACGATAAGGATATCAAGCTTACGATCTAAAACGATTGGGACAAGACAACGATTACAATGACTTATGAAACAACTTGATGACCAAAACGATAAACCACTTGGACAACAAACTCTATATGACTTCTTAGATGAAATTATGGGAAGGCTTTTTAGAAGAGGGAGATAATAAATTAAAATATTATATATTTTGGTTATTGAATAGTAATATGTTTTAATTTAGGTAACCCACATTTATTTAATTCTGAATCGCGCATTCATTTAATTCTGTTTATTCGAATTTTTAAAAATTTAAAATTTTTAATTTCCGGTTTTCGGTGAAACAAAATAAAATTTGTCATCCTCTATCACAATATAGAATACCAAGATTCAATACTATATTAGAAGTTATTATTATAATATATATTTATTTTTTTAGATCAAACTATAACATCGGTGGCGGGTATGCCATGTAAACACTAATTGAAGTCCTATGAAAAATTTTCAAAGTTATGGAATTATTTACAAGAAGCTTTACATTTTGATCAGAAGATCCTCAAGATAAGATATTTTTGTTTAAATATGCACTTCCAGTTTATACAATTTATAATTATAACATGAATTTTCTTATCTTATATACATTTCAATCATGGTCAGTTCATAGATAGTTAAAGAGAAGTTTTTGGTTCTTGTGGAACCCTAATTATGGATATATATAGAACTGTAATGATCTTGCATTTGTGAATCCCTTAGTTACATCTAAAGAAAGAACTTCCCTTTAAGGAAGTAGCATTTATTAACTATAATGTATATAAATACATCTTTTTTTTTACACATATACCTTTGAACTGGAATAATTACATTTGACCTATTTTAACTTTGTTGTGTATATCAGATAGATCTAAAAGACCACACAATTTGGTTATTGAACATCTCATTCCACTCGATTGTATATATCTACATTACTTTGTAATTTATAAGTTTACACAATTAGATACATAGAATATCTTTATTCTTTATAAGGATTAAAAGACATGCAATTTTATACTAAAAAATTTTTTTTTATTCCACTCAGTAAGTATAAAAGTACCATACAATTATTTATTATAATATTCTACACTTCCCTTTTCAATGATAAGTTTACTTACACATATACCTTCTAAACTGGAATGGTTACATTTGATCTATTTTAAATTGTTGAGTATATCAGATCCAAAGCTAAATGAAGGTCACACAATTAGATATATTGAATTCCTTATTCTTGTAAATATAAGAACAAAAAGATCACACAATTAGGTTATTGAATATTTCATTCCACTCTTGATTGTATATATCTGCATCCTTTTGCAATTTATAAGAGCAAGGATCATCCAATTTTATACTAAATATTTTATCAATTACTAAGCAATTTTAAAAACATTGCAAAATTATCAAAAATCTTTTGAAGTAGCAAATAGTGGAGAACCAACACTTGCTAATGTAGAAATGATTAATAATTACCACCATTCTCTTCTAACAACTCAGAATGCACCTCAAAATTTATATCAATTTCTTAAAGATATGTCATTCTTAAATCACAGAATAAAAATATAAATGATAAAATTTTGCTCTTTAAATATATCTCAAAAATCAATCCAACCAATTATCCAAATATATTTGGAAAATCCTTAGAATACTCACTTAGAATTTATAATTAAAATTTAAAAGAATATAGTCAACTATCAAAGAATCAAAGTACAAATGATTTTCCTATTGTTGTTCTTGGTCATTTAGAACATTTGAGCAATATTAAAAGATTTGATACTATTGTAACCCTTTTGTTTAAATGCCTCAGATAAACAAAATATCAAAGAAATTTTATCGAACTGTGAATCAAATATATCTGATAAATCCCATAAAGATAGAATTATAAAAATTTATAAATTATCTAGTTTATGATAAATGTAAAAACTAATTCATGTTAAATACATTTTCTTTAATATTAATCAGCAATATTTGTCTACTATAACATAGCACTGTCACATTTTTCATTAAAATGTTATACCATAACTGATATATTGATAATTTGGGATGATTGACACTTAATTTTAACTAGAAACTAATGAAAAAATTGATATGGCAATGATTATCTCAAGTCCGTGAATAATAACGATAACGATTCCGGGTTCACTATAATCTATATTATAATTTTCCGATGTTCTCACTACGTCATCGTGACGTCATGTCATCGCTACGTCATGTCATTGCTACGTCATGTCATCGCTACGTATTTATTTTTATTTTTTTTATTTGTTGTTTTTATCAATTCAAAGTTGTAAGTATGAATAAAACTTTTTATATTACTTAATCTTTTTTTTATTTTTTAGATTACCCTTATCAATATTCATGTCATATTATCAATTACACATTAATGAAATCTTTTTTATTTGTAAGTATGAATAAAACTTTTTATATCACTTAATCCTATATATTCATGTCATATTATCAATTACACATTAATAAAATCTTTTTTATAGAATATAATTTACAGATGAATAGAATTGATGGTGTACACATACCTAATCTTTGAATTGCTAAAACCTCAAATTTGTAAGTATGAATAAAACTTTTTATATCACTTAATCCTTTCTTTATTTTTTAGATTACCTTATCAATGTTCATGTCATATTATCAATTACACATTAATCCTATCTTTTTTATAGAATATAATTTACGAATAATGCAAAGATCATATGAAAACTTTTTAAGAAGATAACCAAGTATATTCTTTCTCAAAATTAAACCTTTTAATGTTAAATGTTAGTCTTTATTATTTTTATAAAGTAATATATTTTACCCATAGACTAATTGGTAAATCAGAGATTTCCTCTTCATTAATTATAAAAATGTAAAGATCATATGAAAACTTTTTATTCACTCAATTCTTATTTTGTTTTTTATCTAATGTTTTATATCTATGTTTATTTTATACACCCAGTTGCCTCCAAATGATATTTCTATCACCACTACCATAATCCCTATGCCACCTCTGCCTAATTTTTAACAAATATAAGCATTTAATTCTACTATCATTCACCTCACTAGGATTTAATATAAATAATACTTTATCCGATTCCCTGATGAACTTTCATGAATATTTAGAGGGATGTTCAAACGAGAAGGTGTAGTGCGGTCAATTTCATTAGCATTATTAATGGGAAAATATGCTGTAGTTTTGTCATGGCCTTTATAACAATACCTACGACCGTTTTATGGTTGAGTTGACAATGTCGTTCATGATTCTATTTTAGAGGGGGATACCAAGACTGACACTTTGGCAGAAATATTATTTTGCGTTCTTCTTTTACCAGTAGCCCAGGGCCTCAGCTTTATCAGGACGCAATGGGTGTTGTACACTGCTTTGGTAATCCGTCATTATTCATTACTTTCACCTACAACCTTAAATGGGATGATATTATACATTAATTATTTCTTCTGCAGACGACTGCCCAGATTTATCGCTTTTTCCATCAAAAATTAAAATGTCATAAAGGATTTGCTCTTAATTTTACAAGACGCACAAAATAATAATTAATCCTCATCATTTTTTAAAAAAATTACCTAAATTTATATGGAAAGAAAAACACATTTCTTAAAAAATATATAAATAAATTGCATATAAGTTTCATTAGTATTGAATGGCATTTTTTTTGTACTTAATATAAAGATATAGATAGCCCTTATCAAATTTTTTGATAAAAGGAGTTAACCCACTAATTGGTAAATCCGAGATTTCCCCTCATGTGATGATAAATTATTTAGAAATTTAACTATCTCCGGGTTTGGGAAAAAGTTTTGAAAATTAATATGGGTTGGACTGGGCTTGGGAAATATTCCTCAAGATTAATATTTGCTTGCACCTGACTTGGGAATATCTTTTACCAATTATTATGGGTCGGGCTAGGAAAAAATTTTCAAAATTATTATGGGTTGAGCTAGGCTTGAGAAATTTTTTTTTAAAATTATAAGGTCTTGGACGCTTAGAAATTTTTTCAAAATATTATGAGCTTGGACCTGGTTTGAAATTTTTTAATGCTAAATGTTAGTCTTATGTAATCAGTAATATATTTACAAAGAATTTTGGTATTGGGTACAAGCTCATTTAAATATATTTTGACTCAAATAATAGCTTCCACTCTTTGTCCTAATGGGTTGGACTCAATGACATTGCTTGGACTTGACCTAAATGGGGAGGGGGGGGGGGTTAAAAATAATATAAATTGGATATGATTTTTAAATAAAAGGTAAAATCTTTCTTAAAAAAACGAATAAAATTCTCATTCTCCGTCATTTTTGACGGGCTATCTACTAGTAATAATAATGTGGTAAATAATGAAGATCCTGAGCATTGCTGCTATTGGCGTACGCAGCGGGGGGGGGCAAACCCCCCCCCCCCTCCAAAGCCAAAAAATGCAGATGCTGGATATATTTTTCAAAAATATTTTTGTTTAGAGTGTTGTGCAGATTTAATTTAAAACATTTCCATATTTCTTAATTCGTCAGTAAATAAAAATTTTAATTTGTAAAAATTGATAAGAATATATAAATATGTTATTTTAACAACGTTTTACAAGTCAAATAATTTTATTTTCAAATAAATAAATAAATATGGAAATGTTTTGAATTAAATTTACACAGTACTATATTAATATTTGTTAATATTTATTCCTATCTCATATTAAATATATATATTTAATTATATTTATTATCACATTCATCACTAAGTTTATCAATTAATTTCGATTTCAAGTTTTCCGGCGTAATATTATCTTATTATTTTCAAATTTTTAGTGGCGTAATATTTATCTACCATTTTTAAATTTCTAGTCAAATAATAATTATTCTGAAATTGTCCAACAGGGAGAAAGAAATTGCAAGCTTGTCCTACGAGATAGAGTCTTTGCCAGCAAGCAGTAACAGTTTTATGGAGTTAGAAGAGCCGATTATTTGCTATTACTGACATATCACAATGGCCTGAAAGAAATTTTTCCTTAGAAGCAAGAAAATTATTGGATTCAATGCTTATTCCAAATTTTTTTTCTCATTAATGTACAACTATTTTATGTATTACTTTTCAAAAACATGATGACTTGATTAAGAAGATGAGAATAGCGAAGAGCATTTTATTAGAACTCAAGAAAATTAGGGCTAATGTTTATGAAGAATTTCATATTTTATATGTTATTGTTAAGTCAAAAGCAGAGCTATACGTGTTTAATATTTGTCTCACTCAACTTGCAGCAAGGCAAGCTCATAGTTAAAACATTAATATAGGATCAGTAGAAGAGTATATCTTAGACACAAATACATTTATAAACCAAATAAATGAATGGTTTTTAATTCATTATGCAGCACTTACCAATCTGCATATATTATTTCCATAAAAGCCTTCCCAACCTTTTTCAGATGGTGATAGAAAAAAAAATATTTGTTGGATTTTTATCATGAAGATGTTAAAGTATCTTATGATGCTTTATTAGCTGAATAATTATGTTTATAAGATTAACTATGGTTGATACAGTCCCAAAAAATGCTATGGATGCTCTGCATTATTTCAAACACATTTTAGATTATATCCCCAATGTATTAAAAGGGTTTATATATATTAGCAACTCTTCCCAATAGTAAACTAATGAGAGAACTTTCTCTTTTTTAAGAAGAATAACAGAGCACTGCAGAAGTACCATTTGCAGGGCATGATCCGGATTTTTTTAAAGATTTTTACGGCTAAGCTCAAGGCCCGGCCCGGCCTTTTTTAAAAATAAATTATATTTATTTTTGATTTTTATAGCTAATAATAACGATTTCAAATATAGGTTGTTAAAAAAAATTTTCAGCCCGGCCTAGATGTTTTTTTTAAAAATTTAGGCTCAGCCCGGGTGTTTATTTTTAAAAATTTCGGGCCCGGCCATACTATCCAGCCCGGGGCCGGGCCTGCAGGTCTCTGAAAAACATACCAAGAAGTACAACTTTTGAAAGTAGATTGAAAGGTTTGGATCTTTTGAATATTCATAGGAATTTAACAACAAAGGATGAGATAATTGAAAAATTAGCTCAATCCCAACAGATTGGATTTTACATTGTAAATATATAACATACAAAATACAATTATTCCCTAAGCTTTTTGTGTATTAATTTATATTTCTAACATTTAAATTTTTATAACTTTATATATAAATTTTAAAGTTCAAAAAATTTAAATTTCTATTTTGGGTCATTTAAGTGATTCTTTACATATAATTTTTTTATAATTCACATTAATTTAAAATTGTGTATTAGAAATAGTTATTAGTCCTGATAAATTTATGCTTGATATTTTTAAAAAACAATAATATTTCTTAAAAAATTTTATTATCCCCCCCACCCTTAGACCAAATTCCTGCATGCGCTACTGATTGCTGCTTAATACAAACAAGGATTTATGGGGACACTATTAACTCTAAAATGACAAAAATAATTGAAGGGGAAAAGAAGGAAAATATCAGACAGAGATAATAAGCTCTTTAGGATAATGGGTCTCAGGAATTGGGATTACAATTACAGAGAAGTTGGATGCCTCCGGAATAGGACATGCTATATAGACATAACGTTATCTTACAAGGATATACTTACCTAACATAAGAATTACTTTTTTTTCCATCTCTTAGATATCTAACCAGGCGTCAGGTACATTATTATTTATATTTGGTTACAATTAACACTATCTTGCCGGTAACAGAACTAATACATCACCACTTTCGTACTTCTCCCTTCTTCACTTTGCTAGCTGGCTACATAGTGGTACCGTCCACTATAATAAAACGGAGGATCTATATACTAGTGAATATACTTGGTGCACGCCCAACTCCTGGTGGGTGATGAAATTGCACTTCGTGCAATTTCTAGGCGTGGTAATGAATGAATGAATTCTGTTTATTCAAATTATATTTTCATTTTAGTTTTACCTTTTATTTTTATATGTTAACCTTTTTAATATTATTTTCTAATTTTAGTTTGTAAAAGATATATAAATAGTTGATTGAAAAAGAGAAATAAAAATAATATTTTTACTTTTTCTCCAAGGACGTCCTTCTTCTTTCTTCAGTAATAAAAAACGATGTTGCCAAGAAAATGGTTATAAACTACAACAATAGTATCTTATAATTTAACATTATCACAATTTCATACTTGGATCCTTATAAAGGCAATTCACATAACCCAACTACATCACAAAACTAGAACATGAGCAATAGGAGAACTTGCTCATATTGCTTTAGAATTATTAACATAAAAAATAACAATTATAAACCATCCGTGGACCACTCACTTCAAGATGCCCAGGTAGTAATAAACCTCCAGTCTCACTGCTTGAACCTTCATCACTTAGCATCTTACTTGATATTCCACCACCACCTTTAATTTCAACCTAAAATGACTATCAATTATTTAATCCACCAAATGAAAATCCAACACAGGAAAAGACCTTTATAAAAAATTATCCATACCCAAAATTTTTAACAAGCTATTTTAGCTCTACCATATCACGAATCCTAAAAGCAGCCCTTAAATTAATTTATCCTTTTTATATCAAAATTATTAATAATATTTTACAAAATCCAGAAGATCTAAATTGGAGAAAATTGATATATTTCCCAACATTAATATTATCAAATCCACCAAAAGATAATCCTCTACTACTATGCCAAACCATCAAAGAAAGAATTGAAAACTTTGATCTTAATTTTGAAAAATTATCACCAAATATCAATGATCTTGCTAAAAAGACTTTAAGTAATTAATATTATAATTTTTTACTTAAAATCAATTTCTATATGAATAAATCGTTGATAATTTTCCTCCTGCTTGCTCTTATTTTCTGCGAATCACAATAAACCCATTCTACTAATTATTCTAAATTTGCGCAATATAATTCTTTATTTGCGACATATAAAAATATCCGAGCCCCAAATACACTCCTCAAATACTACCTATAATAAATTCAAAGATAAATATCACTCCAGGAGAAGCCTTAACCGCTATTAAATCTTTTCCAAACGATACTGCTCCAGGGCTGGATTACCTTCGACCCTTATTTATTATTGACCTCTTGGGTTTAGACAGTTCCGAATTCCTACTTAATTCTTTAACGAAAATTTTTAATCTTATTATCAACGGGAAATTACCACATAAACTAGCACCAATAATCTTTGGTGCTAGAATAATTGCCCTTGAAAAAGCTGAAAATCAAGTGCGCCCAATAGCTATTGGAATTTTCTATCGACGAACCATTCCAAAAATTATTTGTAATCGACTCAAATCTACAATAACCTTAAGCTTAGCTCCTTACCAAGTGGGGTTTGGAGTAAAAGGAGGCTGTGAAGCTGCAATCCATTGCAGTCGACTAGTTTTATCCAACCTAAAACCTGAAGATTATATAGTAAAATTAGACATATCCAATGCCTTTAATTCAATTAATAGGAATAAAATGATCGATACTTTCTTGGAAACATTCCCTGACTACCACAATTACATCCATCTTAGCTATGGCATTCCTTCCTTACTCAAATTTAATGATTATATTATTAATTCTGCAGAAGGCCTCCAACAGGGTGACCCATTAGGACCACTACTTTATTTCTATATCCTTAAACACCTAATAAGTGATATTGCTTTTTCATGCAAACTCAATCTACATGTTTGGTATCTTGACGATTGTACTATATCGGGGACCATTTCTTCAATCCAGAATTGTCTAGATATAATCAACAAACACTTTGATGAACTTAATTTATCCTTAAATATGAATAAATGCGAAATTTATCCTTCTCCGCCTCCAACAGACACCATATTAGATAACTTTAGACCCACACCCTTACAAGATTTCAGTATATTAAGAGCCCCATTGGGAGGTGCAGAGGGAGTTTTTAATTTTTTAAATAATCACCTTCAATCACTATTCCCCAAACTATCAATCTTAAAAAAATTACCCATCCATCAAGCATACTACATTCTCAAAAACGCCCTTTTATTACCACAAATCCAGTATTGTTTAAAAACTTCTGGTGCCTTCTCTTTTGAAATTCTTTTAAAAGAATATGAACAAAAGATACTACAAATAATGTCAGAGTTATTAAACATCAAACTCGATTCTAAGTCATGGCTTCAAGCAACTCTCCTTTGTAAATCCGGAGGACTAGGCCTAAGATCGGCATTAAGTATAGCCCTTGTTTCCTTCATCTCATCAACCCTATCATTAAAAAATATTGCCTCGCAAATTATTACCATCGATAAAGATAATTTATTAGATGAAGCCTTACGTTGTTGGAACATTAATGTTTTGCCAAACACAGCCCCGCCAGATTCAAATAAACAAAAAGATTGGGATCAAGGATTGGTATCTCGTTCCTTAGCTTACCTCAACTTGAGCGATGATCACCAATATAAATCCCTCCTAAGATCTCTTAATTTCAACAACTCTGGCCATGAATGGTTAGATTCATATCCCAGTATTTTAAATAACCAGCTAATAGATAACGACGCTTTCCGTTATGCAATCAATTTACGCTTGGGCGTAACTTTCCTAAACCATTATATTTGCAATAAATGCAATCAATCGGCAGACGCGTATGAGAGACACGCTCTCCCCTGCAAATTTATATCAAAAGTCAGCCGACATGATAAAATAAATGCAATAATAGCTTCTTTTTTAAATAAAACCATTTTCCCTTGTATTTTAGAACCTACATCCTTTTCAGATAAAAAACGACCTGACAGTAAAACCGTCGTACCTTTTTTCATGAAAGCCTTTAATGTGGAATTTTACCTGCATTGATCCCATGGCTCCATCTAATAATTCCCATGATCCCCTTAACAGAGCTGAATCTCTAAAAAAATATAAATTACTCAAACCTAATGTGTGATAACCACTTTGTTCCAATAGCAGCTACATCAACCTGCTCTTTTGGACAAGCGGCTTTAGATCTATTCAAAACAATATCCAAATCAATAAAAAAATCATACCTTTCTCCATTTTACAAACTCAAGCAGAAAGTCGCCATATCTATAATTAGATCTAATTATCAAATATTTAAAACATCATGGCCCGACCTCGCCATTTGATATTTCCTTTTTTTAAATGTTTTTTTTTCTTCTTTTAGTAAAAATATACATTTGTATTTTTTTTAACTTAAATTGATATATGACATATTTTATTATATTCTCTATATTTTAATATTAATTTTTAAATAATTATATTTTATCATATTTGTATATGAATTTTAATAAAAAAATGAATTTAAAAAAAAAAAATATATATATATAAATTAATCAGGTCATTTCAACATTCCACCCTTTAAGAAATAAACTCCACTCAGGTTCTTCTTGTATGTGAATCTTATAAGTTCATGATATAATCTTGATATCGCGCAGGGAACGTTTTATTTCTATTCGGCCTCGAAACGTCGGCTTTACAATCTTTTTCGTGGTCAATAATATTTCTCCTTTTGTAAAATGTAACTGTTGGTGAAGTGTTTGGTTCATGCATGGAAATTTTGTCATTGGTAAATCTTTTTTAAGTTGGTCTAAGTGTCTCCTTAATACACCATTTTTCGTGGGAATTTGATATAGCATGTTACTTTCTTTTTTAACTATAACGCCTTCATCCTATTTTTTATTCCAAAACTTTTGTACCAAATTTTTTCTCCAATATCCATAGTTCTATTTTTTGGTAAAGCTGTGAGTAAAATGTTGCCGTTGTCTTTTTTATATTTTAATAAATCCCAATTAGTTCTCATATCATGATTGAACATAGGTTTTCTTGGTGGGATACCAGTCGTGTTTCTGTAGTTGAACAAAAAATTTTCAAGAGCGATATCTATATTGTTTTGCTCCATACACTTTTTCATGTGTGATTTGAAAGTTCTCACCATCCTTTCAACTTGCCCATTTGACTGTTGATGGTGGGTTGAAATCTGTATCAGAAACTATTTGTTCTGGAATAGCGAATAAGCTAATAGTTTTAATCAATTCTTTTATCGTGAATTCCACGGTTATAGATTTCACCGGCGTGATTATAGGAAACTTACAGTATGCATCGACTATAAGCAACCAGTATTTGTTAAAAAATGGCCCAGCGTAGTCAATGTGTATTCTTTTGAATCGCTTCGTCGTTAACATCAGATGCTGTGTGTTATTAGGATTATCGGGCCTAATGTTACATGATTTGCATTTTTTTTATTTCGTTATCAATATCATTGTTAATTCTAGGCCACCAAAGGTATTCTTTAGCTAAATGTTTGGTTTTGCCGGCACTCAAGTGTCCTTCGTGTAAATGTTGTAGTATTGATTTTCTTAAAATTTTCGGTATGATGATTTTATTTTCTTAAAATAGACAATTTCCCATAATACATAATTCCGTCACCATATTGTTATATGTTTTATTTTTTTATCGTGTCACCGTTTCTAATGTCGTTTATTATTTCCATTAATTCTCTGTCGTTAGAGGTTTCTTTTTCGATCATCTTAAAGTTAATATATACTTCCCATAAATCATTATTTTCTTTTATATTATTAACAATGTGTATTTCTTCTTCAGGTTTATTATTTAATTTTGACTTGCAATTGGATATTAACTCCAAATCGTCTTTATGATCCATATCAATCATGCCTATTAATCTTTCAAGTATATTTTTAAAATGTTTTAACCATGATCTTTCTAGTAAAGGCATCTTGTTATTGTTTACGATTAATTCATCTAAAATTTGAGAATTCCCTTTGTATTCTACATTCACTCGCGTTGTGCCTATTACTTGTATTGTTTTGCCGTCGTAACCTGATAGCTGTATGTTGGACTTCGTAATATTTTTTAAGCCTGTCTCAATCATATACTTTGGTAGAATTGTAAATCTCGTGCCAGTATCTACTTGTAGTGAAGTTAAGTCGTCATTAATTTTGATGTTTACCATATATGTAACATCTTTAATATTTTGAACTTATTTTTCTACGTTATTTATATCAATATTTAATAAATTATAATCTTTCTTATCGTATGATATGATTTTGTCGTCTTCGATCTCATATATATTAACTGTATTGATTTTATTTAAATAAGGCTAGGATTATGAGTCATGTAATTTTTATTGTCACGATGGTAAAATTGTTGATGCACGTTGGATCTATTATAACTTCTAAAATTTTGAAACGGTTGTATGTTGTTGTCAAATTTGTTGTGGTATTTGAAATCATTAAAAGGCTTGTAATTATTATTATATCGATAATTGTTATTATTATTGTTTTCTCTTGTGTCGTGATTATTGAAAGGTATGTAAGGAGTTTCCCATCTATTTTGATCATGAAATCTGTCATAGTTTTGTCTTGTAAAATGATAGTTATTTTGGTTGTTAAATCTTTGGTAATATGGTCTAGTCTTCCATGGTTGTCTAAACGGATGTTTGTAATTATTATCATATGTTGCTCTCAGTATATGGCATCATCTGGGTATTGTCATATTTAGTATTAGTTGGTTTTTGTTCGTAAACTTTCTTATCTTGGCTTACCCCTTCCAAATGTTTTAGATCAGAGTGTGTGTTGTCTTTGATAACAATCTTATGTATAGATGTTTCAATGTCAATTTCGTCTAACTCTTTGCCTATCTTTATAATGTCATCTAAAATGAGTAAATCTTTAATTCTGTATTTAATTTCCTTAGATGAGCTTGATACCTTTATTTTTTCTAAAACCCTGTCATATCCGATAAAGTTGCAATCCATAGAGCTGACAAATACGGGTAACCCAATTTAAAAAACTTTCGCTCTCTATTTGAACCGCTGCATTAAATTCACTAATTTTTTTGTTTCGAATCTTGGCAGGCTGAAATAATCTAAGTTTGTTGATAAGTGTCGATAATTTCTTGAGATCGGATTAGTGCATATCGATTGTAGTTTAGAAAATATGCCATCTGGTAAATTATGTAGTAAGGTCGTGGCGTTATCGTCATCTGTGCTGTTATTATTTTTAAAAATGTTCAATTTTAGTTAAATATGCATCAATGTTTCCTATATATTTAGGAAATTCGCATTTATATTATACAGTATCATTAGAAACAGTGGGTTTTTTTTATCGTCCACCATATTTAATTAATTGTAAAAAAAAAATTTTCTTCTTATTTTTTTTAAAATATTTTTTATTTATTTTATTTTTAGAAATATGAAATAATTAATATGAAATTCATCTTTATATTTTAATAAAACTTTAATTTACAAAGAAATTTAGAAAGATAGCCGCTGCCACTTTGTTAAGAATGGCAGGGAGAAGAACAAAATTAAGAAAGTATTTTAAAATTTTATTTATTAATATTTATTTAAAAAATTATTTAACTAAAAATGCAATATATTTTCATGCTTATACAGTTTGTAAAAATCAATTTATATAAACATTTTGTTTTGGAATAAATGTAAAATCCTAAAGATAGAAAACCCCGTTTTGTCTTTTTTATTGAGTTATACAAAAATATTAGTAAGAATAAAAAGGAGTATTGTTAAAAAGGTAGGCTCCTTAAAAATAAATATATAATTTTAATTGAATAAAAAAATATTCTAATAGATATATTGATTTTTTGGATAGATATAAAATCCTATATAAAATTATTTATAATAAAATGTACTTATTTTTTGGTGAGTTATACAAAATAATCAGCATGGAGAATAGAGCAATTGTGGATCTGACAAAAGACAAACTTTTTAAAAAGTAGGATCCTTAAAAATTGATATATTAATTTAGTTAAATACTAAAAATAATGTACATTGGATATTTTTCTGTTAGTTAGACAAAATATTCATCAGAGATAAAAGGGTATATTGTGCGGCCCGACAAAATGGAAAGCTTTAAAAATACTTAGGATGTTTAAAATAGATATATAAATTTATTTAAATTATAAGAAATATCATACTAAGTATTGTAAATGGAAAGAAAATAGGGAAATTAAAAGAGATAAGAAGCTAAAGAGAAAGAAATAGAAAATTAAAAAGTTTGAGAAAGGTGAAGATAATAAAAGAAATTAAAAGGGAAGGAAAGGAAAGGAAAATAGAATAGTTTTTTTAAATTTTTTATCAGGCTAATTTTTCACATATTATTTGAGACTATTTTTAAAATAATTCATGTTAGTGACATCTTCAATAATGATATATATGTTATCGGCATCGCATAGCCAGTCTACATTTTGTAGGTTACTGGTATTTGTGATGAAAATGTGGGGGTGGCACATCCTTGTTTTATACCACATTTTTGTTAAAAAAAGGTAGGGTTAATCTTTTGTGTTTTGAAACTATTTTCATAAATATTTATAATAATTTTGAATGTGTGTAGCTGGAATGGGAAAGTTTAAATTATTGATGTTATACTTTTTGTAAACTAAGGATGTATGATGATTGTTTGATTTATAAAAATGAGTTTTTATAAATTAAAAATATTATTTACCCTTATTTTGCTTTTCTTCTCAAAATAAATATGGGCTGAATTAATAATTCTTGTAAAAACCATTTTAATAAATAAAAAATAATAATTTACCAGGATAATAGTTGCTTAATCAGCATCTGTACAATCATTAAGAGAGGTTAAGACAGGGCTTGTTATCTAAAATAAAAACATAAGAATAATTTTAAAAATATTAATGTATTAAACCTGAAGAGGAATCAATATTAGATTCAACTAGAGTTGTTAATTTGCTTGGTCGTAAAATTTACGACCCAATTTTGTGCTCATGCCTGCTCTGAGCACGAACCCTGAGCATAGACTCGGGGTTCAGACCCGGAGTCCAGACCCGGGGTCCAGACTCGG